AAAGTAAGTATAGTCCGCTAGCGACGAAGCGCGTGCGTGGTGAGGAAAAATTAAATAAATAATGCAGCTTTTTGTACTGCAATGTTGTCACGCATTACGTCATTGTCATGTCATAAAAGCACGTTGCCACCTGAAGGCCCGACATAATTGCTAGGTGTAATTCATATATGAAAAATGTTTGCAAAAGGTAGGTAGGTGCTTGCGTTCGTGTCGGTTTTTTTTGGCGCCGGGACAGCACATCAAACTGCCGTAGTGTCGTTACGATAGAAAGACTGCCTTGCCACGTAGACAAGTTAGTGTTAATATAAATATGATTATGATCAAATTACTTTAGAGCTTCCCTTGATTAGGACATTGCATAATAGTCGCCACTTTTTTTTCCATTTTCTGTTGGTGTCGATGCCTATAGACATGTCATGTTTCAAGTTAGATAATGTATATATCGTACATAACTTGATCATTTTGCAAATATTGCGTATTAGGTCCACCTACCACAATTTCGGTATGCAAATTTTATTTGAATAGCCACTTCCACTACTTCCGAAACATCTAGAACATTTGTAGCATATTTTATTTGAAAATTAGGGACATAGTCCCCCTTTTTGATTAATTTTCATTAATTGAAACACAACAAACAGTTAATAAAAAAAAATAGAAAATTCCCTATAACTCATGATTTAGGCGCCTGGATTTGAGTCAAATAAAAAAAAAAAAAAAAATTTCCGGATATAAGGTTCGCCCACATTGAAATATCTCGACCTACAGCAATGACACTTTCTATCTTATCTAAAGAACAACAACAATGACAAATCCTCCCAGAATTTACTACTGAATTTTAAACCAAAATTGTTTTTTTATGTTGAATTGAAGACATTTTTAGAGGTAATGCCGAAAACTCGGGTCTCAAAATGAATTTTTTGAGCTTAGCAGGGGAGCGCTAGAGGAAATACGACACGTGGGTAGCATTATACATGTATGTGCCAGGTGTATCATGCCATGCACATCCGGATTTTTTTGCTCAAGATTCTATCGTCTCTTACACATGATATAATAGCACAAAATGCGATTCTCTGGTATATCGATTTCAAATAGTTAGAGACTGTTGAATGCAGTGGCGGATCCAGAGGGGGCCAGGGGGGTAATGCCCCTCCCCCCAAACGCATGACGATTCATATCATCTAGATTACGCATAGCTTCTCTGCGATTTACGCTCCGTATATCTTAAGCGAAGCTTGGACCCCCTCCAATACATTTTGCTGGATCCGCCACTGGTTGAATGTAACTCCATGGAACAATGCTGACATATATGTTCAAAGCCTTGGAAATATGCATATACAGTTTAGCAGAGAAAATGTAACGTTAACAGTGATGACACTATCCCACACGCCGGTGGACGTACGAACACGATTGCACTGGTAGACAACGCAGCGGATAACATGACTGGCACGATACGCAATTAACATATATACTCACCATCGTCACCGTCAACAAGAGTGTACACGCGATCGGCATTAACTCCCTCATCAGCGTCTAGCGTAACAACCTTCAATAACACAGGAATGATGGCGTTTTCTTGGAAACCAGAATCAAAGTAGAATGGAGAGTTTGGCGGAAAGATGAACACTGGCTTCTCGTCATTTACATCAATAAATGTGACCTCGATCTGGAGACATAGAGTATAACTACAATGTAATGTAATGCAATACGCAGGCTATCGTATTGACTACTACGTAATGGATACAAATGTGACCATGTACTGCCAGAGTAAATACTTTGCGGTGTTCTCGTAATAATATTATACATTCATTTCCTACAGGTGTGGATAACGATTATTAGACAAAAATAATTGTTTGGTGTGACGATAATTGTGTATTTAAATCTTACCGTTGTAAATGCAAAATTCCCATCGCCTTGTGCAATAATATTGAAGATGACGACTGGCTTTGATTCCCTGTCAAATGGTGCATCAATGGTTAGTTCACCCTGGGTAAACATAGAAACATTGTTTAATAGTTGAAATACTTGTATAATGCAACTTACGTGATGTGTCTAGTGAGATGCTATAACGAGCTCGAATGAAATGGTATTGAAACGTTGCTATAATAATAGCTACATAAAAACAATCGTGCGCAGTGAAAGACAAAGAACACGTATTCAGATCATATATCATAGTGTAGTGTAGTGTAGTGTAGTGTAGTGTAGTGTAGTGTAGTGTAGTGTAGTGTAGTGTAGTGTAGCGTAGCGTAGCGTAGTGTTGTGTAGTGTAGTGTATTCTAGTATCGCAGAGGTTTCACATTATATTTATAATTTGCATCAAGGCAGGTCACGGAGACACGAATATAATTGCCATGGTATGCTTGCATTTTATTTCTAGCTTATGCAGGCCCCGGGTAGCGAAACCAAGCTAGTTTATAGTCAGTGGACTGATGCATTGAGATTGAACAGTCAGCTGGGTCAATATTATATTTACAATAGTGTAATTAAATCAGCCTTTCTTTTAGAACTTTCAACACTCTGACGATAATGTATGATAAATTGATTAATGGAACTAGACAAATAAATTTAATTTTGTAAAAAGGTGAGTAGTTTACTAAATAAATGGTTCTATGTGTAAAATTGGAATCTGAGGACTTTATTTGTAGTGTGATATCTGTAGTGTGATATCTGTAGTGTAGTGTAGTGTAGTGTAGTGTAGTGTAGTGTAGTGTAGTGTAGTGTAGTGTAGTGTAGTGTAGTGTAGTGTAGTGTAGTTCAGTTCACTGCAGTATAATGTAGTGTAGTGTAGTGTAGTGTAGTGTAGTGTAGTGTAGTGTAGTGTAGTGTAGTGTAGTGTAGTGTAGTGTAGTGTAGTGTGGTGTAGTGTAGTGTAGTGTAGTGTAGTGTAGTGTAGTTCAGTTCACTGCAGTATAATGTAGTGTAGTGTAGTGTAGTGTAGTGTAGTGTAGTGTAGTGTAGTGTAGTGTAGTGTAGTGTAGTGTAGTGTAGTGTAGTGTGGTGTAGTGTAGTGTAGTGTAGTGTAGTGTCGTGTCGTGTCGTATAGTAACACGAACAGTGAGGGGCGGTGTGGGGCTACTACTTACTGTCGTTGAGTTCACATGAATACCGCCAATCGCAAAGGGCATTACATAGGTTATCAATGTATCATCCGGGTTAAACGCTTCGACTTTGCCAATAGTGATATCGTACTCATTTTCATTAACGGCGAATCTGTAAATTGTTTCATTGAATATTAATGTTGTTGAAGGCGCTTCTAGTTTTACGAATACGGTTGTCGTTGCACGCTTTGTCGACGAGCCGCCGTCAGTAGCTGATATGTTAAACTGAATTTCGTCACTAGCTACACCACCACCAACTGCTACAGTTACAACACCTTTGTCATCAACGTTAAATAGGTCGTTATAGTTTTCATCCTCGATACTGTATGTGATCTGAGCATTGACACCATCATCGGCATCATTTGCAGACACTACAGTCACAATTGTCCCATCGTTGATATTTCCTGTAGGTGTTTTCAATATTGTCGCGGTGTACTGATCGGAATCGAATTTCGGTTCGTTATCATTCACGTCCAATATAGAAATGTGAACAGATACGGAAGACGTTCGACCGGGAATTCCACCATCAGCTGCTAATACGTGAATATTGTATACAGACTTTTTCTCTCGATCAAAGCTGGTGTTAGTAGTTAAAATACCACTATCTAGATCAATGGCAAAGTCAATTGTTTCTTCTAAAGAATAAAACACCAAACCGAAGTCGTCCTTGTCTGGGTCAGTTGCGTTTAAGTCAAGCACGTAGCTATCAATTGGCTCATTTTCGGAGATGCTCGCAACGTAAAGTCGCTCGTTGAAGACGGGAGAATTATCATTAACATCAAGCAAGGTAATTGTAACGGTGACACTTGCTTCGTTTGCCGGGTAGCCCTTGTCCCTTGCAACGACAAGCAGTTCATATACTTCCTTAATTTCTCTGTCAAGTTCAGATAGAATCGATAGTTCTCCAGAGTCTGGGTTCAGTCTGAATTTCCCTTCACTTCCCGTCTGAATGAAATAATATATCTCACCATTCTGCCCGTCATCTGCGTCCGTAGCGTTTACATACCCAATCACCGTACCTACAGCAATGTTTTCACTAACTGAAATTGATGTGTCATTTTCAACGAAAACAGGTATATTGTCATTCATGTCCAAGACCATTACATTTAAATACACATTGTCCATTCTAAAACCAGCGTTACCGTCCATGTCTTTAGCGGTCACTGTCAAGGTATACATTTGAGTTATTTCATAGTCTAGATCTGTTAAAGCATTCTTCGTTATTACTGCTGTCTTGGGATCAATCTTGAAAAGTTCACTGCCATCTCCCGATAAGAAATACCGAATATCAGCATTTGATCCTGCATCGTCGTCCTTAGCAACAATTGGTGGTATCTAAGACAAATCAACAAATGACACATTACAGTTGGAAATAATAAGTAACTAAATGCAACACACAACGTGGTACTCAAATCATGACGCAGCATAGTACGTTGCTATTGAACACGCATGTACTCGACAAAAACAAATATCGATAATCTGACGTTACCATTGTAATCATCGTAAATGATGTTAACCCGCCTTGGCACGGAGCCAATAAATGCTGTGAATTGCACATTCTGTCTGTGTTCGTATTGTATTGCCAAAGAGGTGTGATTTCCGAGTTCTCTGTAAAGAAGAAAGTTTATTCTATTTCCAACGTAAGCGGGCGTACGCGATTGGGTATACCTCAGGTTTATTAGAACGTAACAAATCATTCCGCATTAAATGTTCATAATCAAATACTTTGTTGAAAAGTAAATCACAATAAATTGTATTCTTATTTTCCAATTTATTAGGTTACTTTCTTTTATTGTTTTTGCCTGTCAAATTAGTTTGAGATTATTTTTCACAGCTCACTTGTTTTTTTCCCCTGTAACACCGTATACCTACTCGGAGAACATTATATAGTAAATGAGAACTTATTGTTTGCTCAATGTTACTTTGCTACGTTTCCACACGGCGACTTCGGCATCCTTGTAAAATTCATCACTGAAAATGGGAAATCATGACATTCCATGTCATATTTGCTGCATATTTTGTAATTCTTTTCATTTTTCAAATTACGTGTTACTAAGTGCTGGCACCGTATACATTTAATTTAAATAGTTCTGCGCAAAATGTATTGAATGAGCGAATTTCAGCGATGAATCCGCCATACTAATTGTTGATCTGCCTTACTCTGTTCAGTTCGATACGCGCGAATGACGTATTTGCAGCGCCCTCACACGGAATAATAGAAAGTTTGGAAGGAATCGAAAGGGTTAATTGCAGACGACATAACGCGGTGCACATAACAGTTTTCCATGTCTCACCGGATAATTCATTCGTTCACGTACACATTAATGCTACCTATAGTGCGCAATTAATAATATATTTACTCACGACAACAACCGGATCATTCTGAGTATTGGGCCCATTAGTATCTTCCCGTACAGACGATGTGTATGCATTCTCGGCAAATACAGGATCATTGTCATTTATGTCTTCTATTGTAATCTCAACGTTAATCTAGAAATATAAATAAACACATTACAGGCCGTATAACTAGTACTAGGGTTACATGGCCATGCAGTCCACCTGGGTGCCGTTGAAGCAATCACTGTCACCTCTTGACAAACATGTGTGATATAATAATTACAAATATATTACATTCGAAAATCCTCTAATGTAGCTAGCACGCACAACTGA